GAGCCCCGCCCCTCGGGCCCTGCATTGCGCCAACGGCGCAGCGCTGGGCCCCGACCCGGGCACCCACAGCCTCTCCGAGGGTTCGCGCCGCAGGCGCAAAGTTTAGGGTCAGCCACACGCGCGCGGCAGACTTGAGCCTGGCGTAAGGGGCGGCGGCGTAGAGTCGTTGTGAATCGCCAGCCGAAGTTTGGTTGAAGCACAGGAGGGTAAATAAGAAGGTTTCCAGACAAAGAGACTCTTAAAGGTACAGAGTCTTCTGCCTGTCCCTCCTCCTTAAAGGGCCAGGGACTCTCTCGAGCCCATCTCCGCCCCCTTCACCTCAGCCCTTCAATCCGGGGAACAGTAAAGGAATTTTACGTGAGCTCCCCGTATTCTTTTTGGTCCACCTTTAACTTCTCTCCCCACTGCGAAGGAGCAGCACTTTTCTCACCATCCCGTCTATATGTTTTCATTTAGTTCTATTAAAAGACTTGTTATTTTTAACTGTGTTGTTCCTAAAGAGGCAGCCTGCAAATCAAGGAGTTTCCGGTGGCAGCGTTTGGCTCCCAGACGCGTGAGCATGTGTCTGACTTTCGCCACTGATGACCCAACGAGATTCAGCTATAGAAACCGCCCCCCACAAACCCTCCAAAGTTCAGCAAATTGTGGGGCTTGATAAATAAACCAGACTGAGTTGGTAGTGGCCCTACCATCGGGAAGCAGAACAGCTCTTCAAAAAGTTTACTTCCCGAGCACTCTCCAGGTGCACTGTTAAGAGATAATTTGCGTGGCTGGGGTGGTAGCTACACTGTTCCAACACCCAACACATGGCTAAGACAGGTAAAGACTTAAATTTAAGAACAGGTAAAAGAAATGTATGCATATCAGCTACAGTAGTGGCTCAAGGCTACACACCTGTAAATATGAACTAGGTAAGCAGAGAAGCTAAAGAACACACACACACAAATAGGAAACTACAATGCCTGGAGCCAAATCCAGTGCAGGTAATTAAACTTGGACATTTTAAAGAGGTATGCTAGAAGGAGATGAAGAGAAGTTGTTCCCTCTGGTTTGGTTTGAATTTGTCATGTGGTTCAAGACCTCAGAATTAGATCCAGGCCAGGCTGGGTGGGTTAGCCTGTAATCTCAGCACTTGGGGAGGCCGAGGCGAGTGGATTGCCTGAGCCTGCAGGTTCGAGACCTAGTTCAGGCAACTTGACCAGATCGCGTCTCTAAAATAAAAAATTAGCTGGGCGAGGTAGCACGCGCCTGTAGTTTCGGCTATTTGGAAGGCCGAGGCAGATGGTTCGCCTGAGACCTGCAGGTGGATGCTGGGGTGGCCGAGAGCATGCCATTGCACTCCAGCCCAGGCGACAGAGTGAGACTCTGACTCAAAGAAAAAAAAAAAAATTAGATCCAGAATTTAGCACTTCCTTTGCTGTCTATCATCTTTAACATAATTCTCTTTAGGAATTCTTAAATTCTAACTCATTATCTGTCTTCTCTCCTTACTCATCAATCCTCAAAAAAATTCTCAAAGAACACATACTGTATCTTATTCAATGCTAGTTCCTTAAAAGAGACTTTTGTTGAAGATTTGGGAGCCACTTAAAACTTCTGATGAAGCCAGGCTCGGTGGCTCTGCCTGTAATCCCGCGCTTTGGGAGGCTGAGGTGAGTGGATTGCCTGAGCCCGCGGGTTCGAGACCCACCTGGGCAACTTGGTGAGACCTCATCTCTACAATTAAAAAAAAAATCAGCCGGGCTCGGTGGCTCAACCTGTAATCCCGCACCTTTGGGAGGCTGAGGTGAGTGGATTGCCAGAGTCCACGGGTTCAAGACCCGCCCGAGCAACTTGGCAAGACCTCATCTCTACAATAAATCAAAAATTAGCCGGGCATGGTAGTGCGTGCCTGTAGTTCCAGCTATTTGGAAGGCTGAAGTGGAAGGATCGCCGGAGCCCAGCAGGTCGAGGCTGCGGTGGCCGGGAGCAGCCACTGCATTCCAGTCTGGGCGTCAGAGTGAGACTCCAACTCAAAAAAAAAAAAAAAAAACTTCTGATGGAAGAATTGCTCCCAGAACAGCAGCCCAGGTGAAAAAGATTCTCAGTGCCGTGAGCATGTGTCATCGGTGGTTCGCAAAAATGGTTCTCAAAAGATCTGGGAAGCCCTAGGGATCGCAGAAACCTTTTGGAGTGCCGGGGTTCCTGAGAGCAAAACTAATAATACTAAGACATTATCTGCCCGTCACCGTGAAGACATCTGCACTAGTAATACAAAAGTAACAATGGGTAAAATCACTGCTGCTGTAGCACATATCAGGCAATGGCATCAAGTTGTACTAGTGGTCAAGGTATTCTTCATAGGCACAGTAAAAAAAAATACTTGTTTTACTTAAGAAGGTTTTTGACGAAGCATTTTAAATTATTTGTTGTATTTAAACAGATGGTTTTAAATATACTATTCTATGTGATTAGATGTATGTATGCATAAAGTGCTTATAAGTACATTTGTCTTGAGGAAAAGCACTTGTGCAATCTTTTGAATTAATGGCTTTTCTTCACCATTTTTACTTGAAAGAATAGCTAACAGATAAACTGTAATTATTCACTGGGTATTTGGCAGATATTTTCCTAAAAATAAAGAACCCAACAGCACTGACTGCAATTATAAAACTCAACCATTCAAACAAAACTTAGAATTTTTGAAAACTTGTATCTTCCATTGTGAGCTTGACAGTTTCCCAAGACTTTTCTAATAAGACTTGCCTTCTATTATGCCAGACATTCAAGAGATTTATAAAAGAATTTTTAAAATGCTACTCTTCTCACTGAATTCAGTTTTCATTAAAAGTATTTCATTTAGCCGGGCTCGGTGGCTCAGTCTGTAATCCCGCACCTTTGGGAGGCTGAGGTGAGTGGATTGCCTGAGCCCGCGGGTTCGAGACCCGCCTGGGCAGCAAGACCTCATCTCTACAATAAATAAAAAAATCAGCCAGGTATGGTAGCGCATGCCTGTAATTCCGGCTACTCGGAAGGCTGAGGCGGAAGGATTGCTAGAGCCCAGCAGGTCGAGGCTGCGGTGGCCGGGAGCGGCCACTGCACTCCAGTCCGGGCGACAGAGTGAGACTCCAACTCAAAAAAAAAAAAAAAAAAAAAAATTTCATTTATGTTAACATGTGATGGGCTTATTGTTGCTATTACATGAATTAATGAATATTTTATCATAAGTTTTAATAAGGTAAGTATCAATATATGTAAACTACATAAATAAAAACTCTTTAGGGAATCCTCAATCCTTTTTAAGAACATCAAGTAGTTCTGAGACTAAAAAGTTTGAGAATAATGAGTTAGATGAAAGCAGAAAGAACAGGAAGAAGGCTATTTTAAGCAATTCATATATAAAAGGATATTTGACATAGCTAATAAAAGGTTTTATTGTAGCTTCAGAGTTAAGAGCTTAGGTGGTTCATCAGTGAGGAATGAAAAATAGAATCAAAAATACTATAAAGTATTTTATTTAAAGACACAAACGGTTAAGAGTACAATCATAATATACACGAAATGAAAAACAAAATTTAGGCCAAGAGCAGTGGCTCATGCCTGTAATCCCAGTGCTTGTGCTTTGGCAGGCTCAGGCAGGAAGGATGATCACTTAAGGCCAGGAGTTCAAGACCAGCCTGGGCAACAAAGTGAACCCTTTTCTATAAAAAAAAAAAAAAAAATTAGCCGGGCGTAGTAGTTCATGCCTGTAGTTTAGGCTACATGAAAGGCTTAGGAGGGAAGATAGCTTGAGCCTAGGAGTTTGAGGTTACATTGAGCTACAGTCATGCCACTGCACTCCATCCTAGATGACAGAGCAACAGACACTTCATCTCAAAACAAAAACAAAAATAACAAGTCAGGCACAACTAAGGTTTGGGGGCTAAGGGCAAATGGAGGATGGATTTATTACATATAAAAGATACAGTAATTTTTACCCTACTTATTATTATATTTTTTTGCCTAGCCTCTTTCCTTTAAGGTGTAGAACAAATAAAATCTCATCACTATGAGAAAGTATTAAAAGCATTTCCAGGCAAGGCATGGTGGCCTGCACCTGTAATTACAGCACTTTAGGGGGCTAAGGCAGAAGAATGATTTGAGTCTAGCACTTCAAGACCAGCTGTGACAACACAGTGAGACCTTGTCACGACAAAAAAAAAATTATTTTATTTTATTTTATTTTTTTGAGTCGGAGTCTCACTCTGTTGCTCAGACTGGAGTGCAGTGGCACACTCCCGGCCACTGCAGCCTCGACCTGCTGGGCTCCGGCAATCCTTCCACCTCAGCCTTCCAAATAGCTGGAACTACAGGCGGGCGCTACCAGGCCCGGCTAATTTTTTGATTTATTGTAGAGATGAGGTCTCACCAAGTTGCCCAGGCGGGTCTCAAACCTG